CTCACTTGCTTCTGACGATCCTAGCGGCGTACAAGACACACACTTGCCTGCAGCAATGATCCATAGTGTCGATGCCAGATGTAGACCTGCATAATGTTTCAGACCGAAGTGCCAGGATTTCGGATTCACGCTCCAAGGGCGCATAACCCTCGCTTAGGCGCTAAAAACGCTGTTCCCTCCTGCCTGCGCATCCTCGGACCCGCTTGCAACTAGCTCCTCCACTGCGATGTAGTCGAACAAAAACATAAACTCCATGCCAAGGGACTCACTCGCTTCCATGCATATCTCCTCGCGCTCACCGATGAAGGCACTTCGCACCACAAAGCGCCCCTGTCGTCCATGCTTCTCCACTCAGCAGAGAAGTCATCTCGTCAAACCCTGAAGCCTGAAAGTGCCCGACGTAGCGTTGTGCCACCCGCCGAGTTTGAAGGTCCCACAGACGGACACTGCGCGGGGCTCAACGGAAGAGGGCGACAAGGGATTGCAGGGCTATGGACATTCAGGACAGGGACATGCGAGACCTGACGGCACATGACCTCAAGAACACTCTACATGACACCGACACCTGCAGCACTAGCTCTTCAGAAGGAGGCGCAACTAAAATAAAAGGCCTGGGGCCCTGCTGCAGGGCGGAGACCTGAAGGAAGGATTCACAACTTTTGGACGGTTATCACTCTGATCGCGGAAATCTGCTATGCTCCGGAGCTGGAAACTCTTTCAGATTTGTATCTACCCTGCAGGCCGCTCCTTTCAACACCTGAGCGTCTGGCGTGTTGTGCGACATTGACCAAGAACTCATCCCGGAGACGAGACGCGCTGATCTCGGCAAGCCATTCATCAACAAGGTTCCAGGATCCTGAAGCAACCTAACTGCACCGCAGCTTCTTCCCTGCCACGTGGATGGTCAGACCCAGGGCCCGACGGATGTCACTGCGTCACTTTCCGGCAGTGGGGACAGCTCCTGGGGAACTCCAAGCCAATCAAAGACAAGTGAACTTAGAGCGGCGAGAGTAAACATCACAGTCTGCCTGCACAACAGGGAGTCGTTTGGATTCAACATGTGCCCCCTTGTCCTTGCGTGAAGCGATGTCGAAGACCTGGCATTAATCAAGACAAGGCTGCAAGGAGCCAGTTTGATACAGAGACGCAAAGCTCGGACCTTGATGCCTTTGTCAGAGTCCACGACGAGCACTCGGGAGCCATCCCTGGTTGTAGCCTTCAGACTTTGCAAAACAAAGGGGCTGACAACACAACCCTTCAAAGTCAGAGACCAAGCACTGGGCCAAATCTTGCACTCTGCACTGAAGCTCCCAACGGTGCTGCCTTGATAGCACATGAATTATGACGAAACAATCGTAGGGCCAAGATCGGCGTTGCTGCAGCACACTATCTGCAGACAAGGGATGTGTATGACGTACGAGTCTCGACGCCCCTTTGAAGGCTGCGCTGAGGAGTTTGCAAGTTTCCGTCGGTCTTCCAGAGCAAGAGGCACCTACAGTACTGTTTCCATGTATTTCGAATAGCATACCCACACCGATGCCGCAATTGACGGATTCCAGACAACAGGCTCGGGTCCCTTAGCACAGCTTGCAATGCTTCGGCTGTGTGGGAGCGGGCCTGTCGAAGCCTGCGGAGAGGAAGTGTTCGCCGTCAGGGAGCCAGGCTACCTCGCACGCGCCCTTTGAGATCTATCTGCGCAACAGCTACTGCTATAGAGGTAAGTGGATAATGCATCGAGTCGTACAGCTCACGCGTACTATCGTTTGTTATCTTGGCGCTTGTGCTGGTTACGTGCCGTCTTCACTGGCCTGTTTGGATTCAACCCTTACTGAGACACCAGTAAGCTCCGGACCGTCGAAACAGAGTCTGCATGGCGGGCGAAGATCTCCGGCTCCTCTGCCCCTCAGAAGCCGGAGTTAGCAGATGGCATTTGTGCAATCTATGCACTGAAGTACACAAACATGATGATGGCTGTCTGCACTGCCCTATGAAGATTGGCTTCCACGTGCTTCCTCCATGTTTCCTTACCCTGGCTTCAGGTGGCACCTTCTGTTGCAAGCCATCCCAACGTTGCAGATGTAACATAAGCAGCAAATGCCACAAACATCTGCCCATGCTTCAGGCATTCTTTTGAGGTCTGTCTTTACTTCTTTGCCACTCGCCTTTTGGTCTCTAACAGTCTTCCAATGAGGATGCCTAAGAAGAAGCCTAAGACCTTTAATTTCTTGCGGATCATCCCTGGACCCAGGACGCTCCTGGAAGAGTCCACAGCCTGACTGTACCTGACAACAGTAGGCCAGGGGAACACCCCAGGGGTGGGAAAGTTTACTTCATGATTGACTGGGCAGTTGCGTGATGTTCTCGAGTCTGCAAGATGTAGCCTGTCAATGACAGCTTGAGAAATAACAGGACCAACAATTTTTGGAAGAATGCAGCGTGACCGCCTTGCTTTACCAGCCGGAACGGCGAAAAGAATAGAGGAACAGGATGTAAACGGCTCTAGCTAGAATTTCTAATGCCTCTGCGGGAGGCGGTTGGACAATGGCGGCATGCTTCTTTTTGCTACCGGCCATCATGCATGTGATTGGTAGCATCAACTCCTTCTGTTTCTCCATTCCCGCTGTTGTGCTAAGTAAAAGCCAGTACTCACACACAACATCGAAACAATCAATGAAGGATTCCTAAAGAATTGCACCAACACCATGTAGCTTCATGGAAAGAGGCCACCTAACCGTCCCTTCAAACAAGTCTGGGTATATAAGGAGTCTATATTGGTGTAAGTTGGGGTATGCAACAATGGGTATGTAAGACTCTCCCTGGCCATTTCTTAGACCTGCCAGCAAATCGATCGTTCTTCACAATAGCGACTCCCCCCAAAAAAAGAAGGATACTAATAAATTTCGAAAATTCATATTTACATGCCCAAGCTGGTTCTTTTCTGTCCTCTCACCCCCCAGCCCCCCAAAGTAGGTTAATAACCCTTACAACCCATATAGTAGTTTCCCTAAATAGGGGGACCCCAATATAGACCCCCCAATACTATAGTCCTTATTATAGGGACCCCCAAAATGGTACCAACCCCCAAATGGGACCCTAATACTGGGAACTCCCTTAACCCTATACTTATAAATAGTAACTTAGTAGCTTCCATTTTGTTTTCCATTATCCTCATATAAGCCCTATATACCCCTATACACCCCTATATGAGCTTCAGTCTAAACTCCAAGTCTCCCCCTTAATAACCCCTATAGTAGTCCCCTATATAATCCCTATATATCCCCCGTTAAGGAGTTTAGACTATAGCTCATATATATTCTTTAGCCGCGCACCATCGCTGGAGGCTGAGAGGAGCCGACGGCCGTCAGGACTCCAGGCCAAGGCGGCGCAAGGCCTCGAAGCCAGGACCCCAAACATAAGTTACTGGGGGGTTCAATAGGGAAATAGATTATAGGGATGATTCTAGGGTATTGTGTAGGGAATATCTAGGGGTACCCAGAGGTTATATAGGGCTAATGTCCCCAAACTCCCTAAGCACTGGTAAGTTAAAGGTATTGGCGCAATCAAGGCTCGGAAGGAGGTCCGACTCAGTGGTGCAGACCCACATCTAAGCAGCCCACGCACTATGGCCAATCAATACTTCTGTCACCTGGGCAGTCCCATGTCTATCTGGATATGTGACCGCACTGACTGCGGTCATCAGTTTTGCAAGGTCTGTCAATAAGTGCTGTCCAGAGGCTCATACTTGCTAAGACTTTTTCGCACAATCCTTCTGCTCTGCTTTCGACTGTGAGAGACAAGTCTCAAGTCGACTAAGGATGCCCTTGAGGCAGCATAAGCGCAGCACCATATGCCATATGAGCTGCGGTCGAAATTGTGTACCAGGTTCCGGGACATGCGTTTGGGGTTGTCGTGGCTTTTTGTTTCCCCTATCCTTTGTCAGCATCTTCGCCTTTTCTTTAAGACACGCCTACTTAGCGCAATTTAACCGGCAGGGTTGGCTGCCTCATGATTATCGTTATGTTTTCTCCCCCTTTTTTTCAAGGCTTCGCAGTCACTAAAGTCATGTCCGCCCAGGGCGTGATCTAGTGGTGGGTATTTTGGATTGTCGCCCATATATCCTGGCAAACTGCGATCCCGCGGACGTTAATCTCAATGGTCGTTGTTGCCGTTTCGGGAACTAGCGGAACGAGCAGTGCTACTGAGCCTCTGCTGCTTCTCTGAATTCAAAGCGAGCTGTATTTGCTCTTTTGGCTGGGAAAGCCGTTCTGAAGTACAAGCTTCAAACGGCCCAAAATTAATCGAGCTCTCGGCACAACTGGATGTAGCAACTCTCGTGACACTTACTGCCCTAAGCTGAGCGAGAGCTCGTCCAACAATAGATGCCAGATGTGGATCTGGGCTTGAAACTGGCAAAAGGATGCAAAAGGCACATCCTGGAATATAGGAATCACATGAATCACCTAATCGCTTCAGCTGGCCTTGATTAGCCTTGCCATGCCTTGCCCGATTCTCAGATTCAACGGCCCTGACCATGGCTCAGGGCATCGCTCCCTGCAAGAATCCGCATGCAACATGAGAAAAGCAGCTGATCCAGGTTAGCCTCTACCTTTCCTATGCTTGCTTTATCTCATCGGGTATGCTGCCGTCGAGATGCAGATGATGCAGGTAAGCAGGAACAGCTTGGCCGCGCTTCGGCTCTTCTCATATGACTCACATGACCATTCAAGGGGAGAAGAGGACCCAGCTTTTCTTTCATAGAGCTGCTTGCGAGGTCTTGTGTAGCTACTGGGCAAAGCAGCTCAAATCAACAATCACGCCATCTTCGGCCAGCAAGCCATTTGCCATCATGCTGCTACAAATGTGAAGTATATAACCTTATATATTAAATATACTATAGTAGTTTCCATGTTATTTTCCATTATCCCCATATAACCCCAATACACTACAGATGTAAGCAAGCAGATGCCACACCGAGCCTGAGCCAATGAGCGGTCAGTGAGTCAGACGCCGCACACCAGATTGGCTGGGACTGCCTCCTTGGACAAAGCCCCATCTCTGCAAGGTTCCATGACCAATTGCAGCTTGGTTGCTGTTCATGCCATCCACGCCGTCCCCAAATGAATGCTATGCGATGGCTTTCATTGAATCGAAGCATTTTCAGCTTGACTTGTTTCGTGCATGCTCGAACTGCATTTTCAAGGTTCCCCAGTTCTGCACCTCGTCCCCTCCTGTGGCAGACATACTTGTATTTGTGGAAAGCTGCATCCATCATCTTCGGATAGGGCAACTTGAGATCCTGCATGGTCTTGATGAAGCCCTCCTGCGAGTTCAGCTGTTGCAAGGGATTGGTAACAAGACGACGCTTCAGACTTCCTTGATGCTAAGAGCACTTTCATCAGCCCCTGTGACAAAGATACTGCGTGGAGGCCTTGTTCTGTGTCAGCCGCGGATTGAACTTCTTCTCTTCTGCCACGGTGGACACATTTCCTTAGAATCTAACAACTTTCAATGATCGAAAGCGAGCCCGTGACGTTCAGGATAAGAGGACTTGATCCAACGCGACAGCGCGCAGCCAGTTTCGCCGCTGCCGGGGCCCCTCTCACAATTTTGCACCAAATTGCGCTAGCATCCCCATGCGTCATAGCCGCTACATCCATCTACATCCTGGATGCCACAGCTGGTGGCCGCTTCCGCACCTACCCTGTAGCGTATCTCCACAAATGCTGTGGCATAATTTGGTCTTAGCACTACCACATTCTAAGTTCGCATTCCAAGCGGCTGCCCTTGTAGTCATGACCTGGCACTGTGAAGGCCACTTTCCATTCTGGAATTGGTTTCTTGGTCTAACTGGCTGGAAGCGGCAAGCAAGGGCAGAGAGCGTTGCTCCCATTGGGCCTGGGTAGATCTTGGTGTCCTCGGGCAGTGTGAAGATCTTCTGGTGAACTACGTCGTAAAGCCGCGAGGCGTCGCCCTTGCAAAGGCGTGAAGCAAATGCAAGGCCCATACGTCTTGTCACGCTCTCCATTCTCAAGTTTGGCTCTCAGGATGATAACCAGCAAGCCCCAGGTCAGAGTCTTTTCCTCAGATGCAAGCTTGGAGAATAAGAGTTCTCAGCTAGGATCCTCAGTGAGGGGCAGGTGGGCTGGCGCAAAAAATGCAATTCCTGGCCTGCTGAAAATCAGTTCGACCGCACCCGCGAATCAGCAAGGTGTCGCCTGGCGCTTGCGCGCGCGAACTTCTGTGTGCCTACTTCCGCGTTGCGGAAAGCATAAGGGGCGCCTGTGAAGACAGCTTTGGGCGCATCTGGGCCGCGCAGAACGAAGCACATGCCTAAGTCAAGCGCAACAAGGACACCGATCAGGCCAAAGTGGCTGGACGCAGCCTCCGCTTAACACGTTAGCCAGCCAAGGGCCAACATCAAACTCCAAGCCGCGGGGCAACCGTCTGTGTGACCCGGCGTGGCCACGGCCTGAAGTGCCTTGCTTGAATTGCCAGCGCGTGCGAGCAACGGCAAGAATTCTGGAAGCAGCAGCATGGGCACAAACCTTTCAACTTTCACCATCGAAGATCTTCGCATGGCAACTACACGATCCCTCACAAATGAAAGCACGCTGAAGATTTCTAACTCCAGCGCTAGCCCAAACTTGCAATGCCAGCGACATACTTGCCAAACTCGATGGTGTCGCCATCCTCTTTTAGAGATAGCACAGAACTGGCACGAAAATGCGTTTGCCCACGCGGGTTCCTTCAGTTTCACATCTGCAGCTGCACCAGAAGCTTCAGAGATCATCGTTTTGACCTTCGACAGCTGACTGAGGCGCTGGTTGTGCCACCCACGTGTTTTAGATTTTAGTCTCGGGCCTCGGGAAGCTGCTTCTTGATGGCACCACCAGAGGTGATGTGATCTGCATGACAGTGCGTGTTCACAACGTACTTGACCTCTCAAACACAAACTGAATCAGATTTCGCCCACATTCGCCCACCATCCTCCCGGCCTTAAAGCCCAGCTCCTCCGCTAAGCTAAGATCACGAGACTCCATGCCCAGGACCTCAAGCAGCTTCGTGGTGTAAAACTCTTACACGAACATGTGCACACCAGACAATGAAGAGAGTCTTTGTCGAGGGGCTGGATCGATCAACACGGCCTCTTGGCTGTCGGAGCAGCCGATCAGGTAAGAGAAGGTCGAGCTGCCCTGGGGAGAGCGTCGTTTAAGCTAAAGATTCAAACCTGACTGTCCCCGGTCTCGTGGTTGCAGGGCCTGTGGATCAAAAAGCTGCTCAATCACCGCGCCCTTCTTGGCTGCAGGAGTCTGCTGGGCCTTCAGGTCATGGAATCTAGTGTGTTCTCTTTCCGACTGCCACCTAGCTGAAAACAGGAGGGCCCGCATGGTGCAGCTTGAACTGCGGGCTCAAAACCACAGCTTTTGCAAGCCACATTAGCTGGGTAGCTCAGCATGGCTAGCGGGCTTGTGGGAGCATGAGAGGCGCCTCCTCGTTGTTGGCGGGAAGCTGGTCCAGCACCCAGTCCTTGATCGGCCCACACCTCACAGGCGAGCGCAACAGGCAGGCGCCCTGCAGGGGTTACAGCTTGCAGCAAGGCATAAAGGGCATAGCGAGGCGCTCTGAGCACTTGGTGAAAAACTTGAGGTCCAGGTCTTCGGCCAGGAGGCTCGCGGAGGCCCTGCAAAGGCTGATTGAAAAAGCAGGGCATGCTTCCTACAGCACACCTGCTTTGGACCACAGCCTGGCCTGTTGTGTCCAAGCGCTTTGGCCTTCGCAGTCTGGAAGCCATTCTGAAGTACTTTGAAGCAATAAATCATCCACTAATTAGGCACCAAAGAGTTCCCTGTGAAACTGTACTCGACGCCTGCGCTAGCAGTAGCGCTGCACCGGCTCGGTTGCCCGAAGTGCATTGGATCATCCTCATGCAGCTGCAACAGCTGAGTAAGTCTTTGCCGGCAAGCTTTCAGCTTCCAAGCTCTCACTCCAGTGGCCTCTGGGCAACGTCTACTTAAGCCAAGGCTTGCCGAGATACAAAGGTCTGGGCAGGCGCTCCATAGCTGCAAGGACCTCGGATTCCGGCCACGGAATTCAGATCAGCATAGAACCCGCACGCCATGTCAAGGTAGCCCAGACTTGCAACCACAGAACCGCCTCCGCATGCTCTGCGGTGGCTGGCTGGCCACCAGCTGGGTTCGGGATGGGAGCCACCTCGACCTGCATCAGAGCCCACAACATGCGTTCCAGTCCTAGGGAGATGAAGAACTTTCCTGCAGACTTTGGGGACATGCTTCCACGTGTGAGTGCCGTTGCGACCTGCGTCTGGTTTGAAACTATTCGCATGAACTATTTGGCATGCCCACACCTTGCAGCCCGCAGCTTCAATCGCCTTCCTGTGGAAGTGTTTGTTTTCCTGCGTTGCGCTCAGATGCGCTCAGGTTTGGCTTTCATGTTCACAAGTCCAGTCCACAGGGCTTGGTAGGCCATTTGCTTCCAAGATTCGGCCGGGTTCAGGTAGAGCCATCCCTTATACCGCGGTGCCAGCTGCTCAATGATTGCCACATCCATGTTTCCTGCTCAAGCTACTTCTCTGAAGAACTCCAACTGCTGCCCTGAACAAGAAACAACAAAGACTGCCTTTTAGTTTCCGCAGACTCACGCTTGCCGAGTTCTCATGATGCCGCGAGCGGCTACAGTGAGGGCACAGGCCTGAGAGGCTGACATCTCCCGGCAAGTTTGGAGTGCTAACGCCGAAGAGCTCTGGCTTGAGACCTTGGGACTCGGACTGATAAGGACTCGCTCTTTCTCGCTTCTTTCTCCACCCAAGTCTAAGCGCTAGCCGGGCTGCTGTCTGCCGCTGTGGAGGCACCCTGCGATGCCTCACCTGCCGCAGCGGAATGAGAACGAATAAGGTATGTAATACGGACCTACAGTAAAGATCACTTGCCGAATTCATGAAACCGTGGATCATCAATGGATGCTCATAGGTCCCACCATCTGGAGGAGATTCATGTTAACCTACGCACGTCTGCTGGCAACATGCAAATTCGGCTCTGCCTACGCCAGAAATCGGCACCGAGGCCTCGGGTCAGAAGACGCAAGTCATGGACGCCACACGAACAAATTCCACTCAAGCCTTCAGTGCTGCTGTTTCGGAGGGCGGGCTGGCCTGCAAAGTAGATCTTCTCAAAATGAGCTAGCAAGCAGCCGCTGCCGGACGCATGACAGCAACAGGACGCGATCAAAATCAACCAGCAGTGCCTTAAAGGTGCTTGGCTTTGGAACTTCTGCCACCTCCACGTCATCAAGGGTGTTGGGGCGGCAACAGTACATGAGCTAGTCGATATTTCCTACGCATGGCTTCCTTATTAGGGACTATATTAGGAACGCTACTAAACAACAAGAGGGACCCCTATGTCCACTGCTATGGGTCTCTTAACAAGGCTTATATTGACAGTAGCTCACATGTGCCCTCAGCATGTTGGTGACGGCATAGGCCACGCCTTGTGCTTCACAGGAGGCTCGAACCACATGTACTTGCCATACCTCGGATATACAACCCCAATATAACTCCTATTATATCCGCTATGCTACCCAGCTTGCAGTGGAATTTCAGGCCACACGGCCAGACCCCGGCCAAGGCACCATCGTCCAAGCGGCATGGAGTGCCAGTAGACATGCTCGAAGATGTAGCGTTTCCTTGTTTGGCGCTGCTTAGCTTCCACTGCGCTGGCTCGACTATCCAAGGCTGAGCATCAGCCAGTAGAAGAGGACGTTAGGCTTGGTCTGGTCCAACGGCTTGAAGGTTGGAATCGCTTCCTGGACAGCAGAAGCCCTAGTCAACTTCTACATCAAGCCTCTTAACGGGTGGGGTGACGCCAGGTCCAGGCAGGTTGCTGGTTTTCGCGTGACACAGACCACAAGAACTAAACATCTCTCACAAAATCTCTTGCCACCCTCAGTGCAAAACCGCCTTTTTCGCAACATTGACAACCATTCTGCTTAAGCAACATGCTTGCTTTCGCGACTTCTAGCCACACTGGAAACTGCAAGGCTCCATGGTGTAGCCATTGAACTCCGCCAGCATCAGCTTGCTGTCCTCAGATCTTCAACCCAGGCCCAACAGATTCCAGCTGGCAGCTGCTCTAATAGTAATAATACTAGTAGTAATAATAGTAATAATACTACTAAAGTAATAATAATAGTAATAGTAATAGCAATAATAACAATAATAGCAATAGTAGTAATAATAGTAGAAATAATGAGGTCAGCCGGAGCTCTTTGGCTCTCCTTGCTTCTAAGCTGCTCCCACAAGCACTGGGCACGCCGTGTAGCCATCATAGACTGACGTAGGCTCTTTACCTGCCATGAGTGCCTGCACCTTGGCAAGCCAAGCCATTGTGTGGTTGTCCAATCGCATTATTCTGTATCCCAGGATCGATCAAGCATTACAGAAAAAAGCCGGACGATGCGATTGATTCTGTGTTTCCCCTCTGAAAAATTCATGCCCAGGCGCATTGTAGGTAACCACCGGGGCCTGCGATGAGATTGCAGAGTAGGTCCTCAGGAAAAGCCAGCGGTTACATCGGTTTCAAAGCCTATTCACAGACAATCCAAGCTTCTGACCCAAGTATGCTGTTACTTTACAGTGAGCAGGCTCTGTTCACTCCTTTTAATAAGCGAAGCGAGTAAGCGAAAGGAAAGAGCGAAACGAGGGAGCGACAGGAGTGAAGAGAAGAGGGTGAACTGAGTGAATGAGCCAACAACCAGATTTTGGATGATTGCCCAAGCATTTTCTGATATAGTTTTAATGTACTTTCAAGACTATCACGTTACCGAGGGTGGGGGTGGGGTCATATTTTCCCATTTGGTTTCGCTTTATTTGTTTTTAATGTATTCATCTAAGTTGCAGGCTGTGCTCATGTCCAATTGATTTGTTGTCATGCTATTGTTACGTAATGTTTGTATTCACGACATGACATATGTGAAAATATGTGAACTCTGCAGTAATGTGGGAAGCGAGAAAAAACATGGACATGGCATGAGCCCTGGTAAAACCAACATGGATGAAGTATGGAAGCTTGCGGAGCATGTGGAAACAATATGATGGCCCTTGAGCCCTGAGTGAGGGTCCTTGTTCTGATGGCCCAGTACATATCCAACACACCATCCAGAAGCCATATTTGCGATCATATTGAATACACTTTTAAATATTCCTCGCTTCTCTCCCGTAGCAGGAATGCTGGGGTCTCATATCCAAGCGATTCATGCTGAAACTACCTCTGAGTTGTTACTGCAACAGAGTCGCTTCGAAGTTGGAAGCGAGGAGCAGTCGCCCAGCGAGAAGACGTTTGAGAACTTGTTGTGCTGGCAGGTTTCCTGCAGGAAGTCATTCGGTGCTGAGGTATTGCGGGATGGATTCTGTCGTGTTCTGCGGCTTTCTTTACCATCCCTTGCTCCGCACATCCTGCACCCTCTGATGACGATGCCCACCTTCAGCTACGGTTTAAGAGATGCCCTCATGGCCACGTTCGTGCGTGAAGTGCAAGATGCCAGGCTTACGTAGGGGCAGAATGGCACTTGAAAATTGAAGACATCCTTGTTTGAAACCGACACTGCTGACGCTTCATTCCCCACATCTAGAACGACGAATTCCTTTCTGCATTTTGTGGAATGATTGCGTGAATGAGGCATGTGGGGACACACCTCCAAGTCCGGTACGCCCGCACATGACATGAGTTGTGTCTAAAGCTTGTCCTTGTCCACATCCACAAACCCAGCGGCGTTTGCCAGGGGGCTGTTCCTCCACTTTGCTGCTGTGGGAAGCTGAGCTATGTCACGGTGCAGCAGCCAGAAGAGATGCAACCTATCCGCCCATCAGCTCCTGATGAAATCTGGAGCACTCATCGGAGGCGTCACGTGGAGAAAGTCGAACTCTTTAGTCACGAGTTCGCCTACAGGAAGCGTGGCGCTGAAATTAAGTTGCGTCCCATGAGCTTGAGGCCGATCGCAGACAGGACCAGTCGGCTCCGTGACCTCGCCTTCCCTCTCAAAAGTGGCAATCTTCCTCGCAGGATTTTGCACACGAAGCATATGACCGGAACCGCACATTGCACAGCAAGCAAGCCAGGCTGCTCTGCATAGCTGAGGTACCCTAGAATCAAGGAATGGTGGCCTCTCTCCATCAACCTCCACAAGATTCGTCTTCACGCTCGGGGTGATATCTTGGTTCAAGTGGCAAGCTGAGGCGTCAGATGTAGCACCCGCTTCATCTTGACAATCTTTCGATCTTCACTTGTGCAGCTCACTCACAGGCCAAAAGGCTCTTGGACTGCATGACCTTCTCGAGGGCAACACGGTACTCCGGACAGGCAAAGATGCCTCGAGGCAGTATTTACAACCTTCTGGAGGGCAACTTCTGAGCATTGGCAGCCTGGGGTTGCTGTGCAGAACTCAATGTCGATGTTGTTGCGAACTCCTGAGAAACTCGAAGAGGTTGGCGATGCGAACCCTACCCGAAGCTCAAAGCCAGAAGGGGTCCTCGTTCTCGCCAGGCAGCTTCTGCCAGGTAGCAGATCCTGAGTCGTCTGCACGGCCCGCTTGAAGAACAATGTCACCCATTCTTTGCAGAGCGTCTTCTGCGGTGCTCCGCCACAATTCACAGCTGTGGCAGGATTAGTGAAGATGGCCTTGCCTGTTTAAGACAGAAATACGAAAGCACAAGGCCATGTCCACGCAGCAAGGGGGGTGCCTTTCTGCAGATGCGTGATGTTTGCCCAGACACTGGGCGAGTAGTCGAAGGAGTAGATGGAAGCAACCTCAGACTTCTGAGTGTTGAGCGATGTTGAGCCCCTGCCAGTTAAGTTCAAACAAATCCGACCCAGATGCTCCGTTTTTGCCCATGGTCTCAGGGAGTCCTGGGCAGCAAAGGGAATCAGTCAATCTTGCTTGAACAAAACATGTCAGCTCAGCCTCGTCAGCAGTGTACATGCATCTGCAGAATGGACCGCATGAGCCGTCCTGCTACAGCTCCGAAGTTCTGCTGGAGGCCGGCAGCCACGACCAGAATGTCGTACTCCTCTGCACATGTTTTAGAACATTCTGAATGCTGAAGATGTTCTACAAGCTGCAGCTTCTGCTCCAAAATTGCCTTACCTGGAATTGAACAAAACTACGTAGAACACGCATCCGAATAGAAGCCCGTCTTTGGGATTATCAGCTGCGCACTAGGCCTCGTCTCCTGTTCGATCTACGGAATCTACGCCCTGTGTTGAACTTTGGACAACTGACGCCTGCTTGACTGGTCCAAGGCACAATCTGCTGTCCGTTAGCCAAGGTCAGTTTGTTCTGCTCCGGCTGGAAAGTCAAGCACTTTTCCTGCAAGAGCTTATGAAACTGACTCTAATATTTACCATGCTCCAGCTATTTCAACTGTCACCTGCTCTGCTCAACTCTTCTTCAGCCTGATCTTTCTTTATCGGGGACCTGCCTATCGTCTTCAGCATCGAATCCCTGCTCTGCCGCTCATGGTGATTGCGCTTCTACGTATCAGGTTCTGTTCACCTAAAGAAGACGGTTTTTTTTTCACTGTTGATATGACCACTCTTGCTCTCAAAGCACATGTCTGCGGCTAAAACCATGGCCTTGATCCACTGCACGTGGTGGGGCATCACCTGGAGGACCGAAACTTATGGGTGCCATGGTGGCCTTCTGTGGGTATTTCTCAATATAACCCCTATATAATCCCTTAAGGGGGCCCTGTATAATCCCCTTATAATCCCTCTATACCCTTTGGGGTCCCTAGGGCCCCCCCTTTTTGAGAAACTCCCCTGTGGTGTAACTTAGCACAGCAGCGTCTTACAGCATCCAGGACTTCGGAAGGCATTGGCCTGCTCCATGGGTCGTGCAGAGTTTTTGACCTTGCCGCTTAGTATAGGGGTTCTATAGTAATAATGGAAAAGAAAATGGAAGCTACTTTATTGCACTTTGAAGCCCACTGCTGCAACTCGCACTGGGAAAAATGTCGATTTGTTCTACGCTCAGCCGGGCAGTTAGGCATGTGAAAGACAGCTCGCGGGCAGGTAAGCGCGGACACACCTTAAAGTACTATGCTGAACGAACAGGCATCTTCGTACAAAGCTAGCAATACCATGCGACTTCATGGTGGTCCCACAAATTGAGAAGCCGTACTTCTGATTTCAATGATCCATTACTTCACAACCCTACTCCTCACTTAGAATCAGACACTCCGCTCTGCACCAATGTCAGAAATGCATACTAAGCTTTCAGTCCCGAAGCACACATGCTTCCAGGGAGCATCCAGGCCGAGTCCGCCAACCATCGTCCAGTAGGGCATGTACAGATGCTGGTCCTGCTGGGAAAGCAAAACATCGTCTGCGTATGGCGAGTGGAGTGGCTGCGGTCCCTGGGCTCGATCACGGCAATGTTGCTGTGCTCACCTCGGCCACTGGACAGTCTTCTCGAGGTACAGATGGAGAGGTATCATGCCATGTATCTGCATGATTGAGGCAAGATGCTCTTGGGGAGCTTCCTGCGCAGCTTAGGCATTCCGTACACTCTGGCGCTGCTAGCAAACATTTCAGAGCATTTCCAGAATGTGCTAAACCGTTTGGCAGGCTCAGCGAAAGTCCTGCACAACTGCGAGGCTACCTTAGCTAGAACACGGACATGCAGGACATGCAAGATGTCTCTGCCAGAACATCTGGGGGTTTCCCAGCAGTCCCTTTAATAAGGACTAAAATATTTTGGCGGGATTGGGGTCCCCCAATTCATGGAAACTACAATCTAGAAAACATGAAACAACCCTGGTTGCAGCTCCACCTCAAGGGATTTGCTGCACGTCAGTTCTCAGTGTCTCAGTGTATAAGGCCCTCAACTCTGCGGACATGGTGCTGAAACTCCGGAGGAACCTGGCACACCACAGAACTGCAGGCGTAAATTGCCATTAACACACAACTTAGCAGCTCATCTTTTGCAGTGAGACCTTGCAAGAGACAGTTCGTGGAAGAACAAAGAACAAACTTCCTGAGGAAAACGTAGCCTTACTCGCTCCGTGCTACAACTCTGACTCATGGCACGTGCCCCATGATGCGGCTGAGAAGCCACCACCGATGATAGCAATGCGATATTTTGCCGCCTTAGGCGTGAAGAGTCACTCTCCCAAGCCTTGGCCTTGCTTCCTCATGCTTCATGAAAATATAAAGGTCTGAGCTGACTGTAGCATGCCAAATGCAATTTGAGGAAGGTGGATTGCAAAAGCTCAAGAGAAGCAAACTCCTACCCTTGAGCAAGCCCCTTGCAAAAAAACTTCCAGATTTCCTCCTGGCTGGAAAATCTTCGGGGTTGGAGCACGCTATTCATCAGGTTCAAGCAGTGCCGTCACTGTACCGCCTGTACAGTGCTAGCTGAGCGCCCCGTAAACCTGAATTTTCCATAGCGCCTACAGAACTGCCAAGGCTTCAAGACACCCGTGAAGGTTGCTTCTCAGGGCCTGTTTCCTGGCGAGCATGCACGTCGACTGCTGTCAAATCACAGAATTGAGTCCATACCCCCTGGTGGCCCTAGACAACTCTCTAGTGCTCAGCAAAGCTGGGCTTTAATACAGGAAGGCCCTGCTCACGTTTGAGAAAGCTTTCATGTCAAGGTGTCTAGGACACATCCCTTCACATGCACAATGCCCTGGTCTCAGCTCAAGTGGCGGGCTGCTGCACAGGCATCGCTCGGAAGCCTAGCTGCCTGGAGATGACACCCAGCATGCCCCTTGCAGCATTGCTCTGGTGCATGTTTCCTGGCAGGCAGAGGGCACCCACCAGAATGTACCACTGGACCTCACAGCTCAGGGAAAGGAACCCCAATTGAGCTACAGTCCAAACTCCCAGAATTTCCCGCAGCCTAGGATTTCCCTTGATAGCTTCCATAGTAGTCCCCTATGTACCCCCTCTATAACCCACCAGCCCCCCTTTAAGGAGTTTAGACCCTAAACCCTCAATAATCCCCCATATAACCCCCCTTTTTAAGGAGTTTAGACTATGGCCCAATTGGATCTCCAAGCATCAGCCGTCCTCGGCTTTCACTGGGCGAGGCAAGACAGAAGCGCTTGAGAGAAGGGCTGCAAAACAGTCTGGGCTAGCATTCCTTACTATCATAATTACTACTTTGATTTGTACAGTTACCACTCATACTATTATACTATTGTTATTACGACTGCTATTTACTACTACCATTTGATTCCTCCTCCTCCCCTACTACTCTTCATAATAATTAAGCCTATTATCAATTAGGCTTGGGACACTTGCTTGCAACAGATATATGGGATGTGATATGATGTGGTGCATAGAGCAAGCCAGATGTATGAGACTGCTGCGAGTCACTGGCAGGCAGCTTGGAGCAACGCTGAAAATGCAGGGCCCGCAGCACACTCCCAGACAATGATGCTCTCGTCCTGCGCACAGACAGGTGCTGGCTTTGCAATGCAGCTCTGGGCAGCTGAAATGAACCTCTTGCGAAGTACTGAGCTGAGCGCCTTCGACGAGGATGCCAGGTAACGGCCATCATCCGTCACAACTGCAAACCACACTTCGTCCCGGTGGTGATTCAGCCTCAGTGTGCCAAAATGGTGGAGACTCAGGCGAGATGTGGGAACTAAAGTTCGCAGAAGGAAAAATCCACCAACTTCAAGGCCCAGGCCTCTCCACGCAGTGTGTTGGAAGAACTGGCCTCAACAGCATCCAGGTGAAGACCAGCTGCATGTCGCAGAGCTGACTCGGAACCCAATGGAAAAGTTTCAACACTGCAGCACTTGGGAAAGCACGCTGTGTAGCTGTAGTCTTTCAACAAGCTCGGTCCAGAAGACCTAAATTGGGCTGTTTGTGGCGATCACCACTTTTCTCGAGGTCTCAGCCCGTGGCAGAAGAGTTGGATCCATGTCAGTGGACAAGCAGTGCAGCTGTTGGTACCTATGAGTTCGGCCAACATGGCCAAGGTGCTGGGCCAGAGTTCGTGTGCGTAGGTGTGGGACAGGGAAACTTGAATCGACCCAGCATGTCTTCAGCGAACAGCACCGATGAGTAATCACCATGGATTGCTAAGATCGGTGCATCAAATTTGGATCAAGATCCGTATAAAGACAGTGAAGCTGCTGGTACCTGTCCACGAGATCCCCCAACATGAAAAATCAGAAGCAGAAGCTGTACCAGTCCGGGCCAGCACAATAGGTCATGGGCTGATCTAATGGCAGAGCGCATTCAGTTTCTGTAGCAAGTTTCTCGTAGGCTTGACATTCTACTGCTACTACTGCTACTGCTACTGCTGCTATTACTTCTTCGGCCAATCCTGCTGGTCTGTTGCTCCAATGCTCCGTGCCTGACAGCCTGCCACAGCAGCGCGGAGAGGCGACGCGGTGGCAGGGCCAGCTCCACCGGTAGCAACTCGACCTGGGAGTTCGGCGTGGTCCTATCCCATTCCACCTTGTCTGCAATGCTGAGGCACATGTTTCTTTGATGCCGCGTGAGAATGAGTGCGGAAATACAAGACTGTTGCAGTTATCTGCACTAACTGCTCCCTAGAGACAGTACTACTATTGCGCATCCCTTATGGGTCGGACACGCCTGGAGTGGGAAGAGCTGCATTGACTCCTCCTACATCACTCATCGCCATCAGCTGACATGCTAAGAGCTTTGCCAAGCGATCTGCCACATCGTCGCGCAGGGGTAAGGATTCAGCAAGCTCCTCGAGTTCAGCGTCCATATCGCAGCAACGGTTTTACCAGTTTCTTGCCCTTGAGACTGCCATGTCCTGAGGTGACAGGTCCAGCTGCTGCGACAAGCCCTCGAGGCCAGCCTCAGGCGCTGTGGCTGGGAACTGGTGCTCTTAAAACACATGGTAAAGTGCACCACTTCTGACATCTTGGAGCACGGCGGAGTCAGAAATCTCTGAGAAGACCTCCTTTGCTGCCTTCGAGGCGAAAGCTAGATTAGGCATGTAGCCTCACCTTACACGCTAGACACCTGACACTCGGCCTCGACCTCGCCATTGCGGTGCAGGTCCAAGCACTTCCTGAAGCTACAACAGAATTGCTGGGCAACACTCCAGGGCTCCTCTCAAAGCACTCTACAAACATGAAATGCGGCGGCAAGCCTAGGGCCTAGGATTGAGCGCTATGTATGAGGCGAGCGGCTGCTCCAGCAGTGAGGATCGGAGTGCTGCCTCAGAAATTGGGGACGGGAACTGCTTTGAGAAGCTCTGGGAAGTTGCTATAAGAAGTCTTCAAGATGACTGCGAATTCATAGTAGTGAAGCCTCCAGGTAAGGCTTTGACACACTAGTCGTTTACTGCACGCTATCGCGCAGATGCAAGCTGACGGCGTCATGCCGGGTGAACCAAACCCTCCGCAAGCGGCTGGGTCGTCCGGCAGAATGCAAGTAATACATGTGTGAAGCCTATCCGAGATGTGCAGTGAGAGACTCGGCGCGCCCGGCGGACTCGGCGCCTCCGTCCGAACTATGCCCCCCCATGGTACCATTCGAGATTCCAGGTTCTTGGGAGCTCTCCATCGTAGTTGCCGTCCAGGGTCACTTGATGGCCATGTTTTTTCTTGCAACCTGAGGGTGCTTCATAGGCCCCCCAGGTTGATCCAAGGCAGTGCGTCCAACTCCTGAGTCGCTGTGAAGGAGCTGAAAGTAAACTACCTTAACTTACAATGGGTATAATGATAGATAATCATAGGGTTTCCTTATTCATGTGTTAGCTCAGTTTAAGTTCCTTCACAGCAACCCAGACTCCTCACCGTGAAGGAATAGTACTTGGCGCAGCCATTGCTGCTGTACAGGTCCTGGTACACGCCATTCTTGTAGAAGCCCTCCTTGAATGTAGGATGAAG